CGCTGCGCGGGCGACGACCGGCGGGCAGGAGCCGTCCCGGGCGGGCGAGGTCAGGCTCGTGGCTGCTGGACCTCCTCACCACCTTCCTCAGGACCTGGAAGTCAAAACCCCGGTTGGTGTGTTGTGTGGTTGGTGGTTTTGTTTTCTTAGTGGGGGAGCGCGCGGGACTGATGTGCAAAGACCACCACTGACGGAAAAGTTTCCACATTCGGGGCTAGGGGAGGCGGGTGTTGTTTGAGAGACACGGTTCTCCTAACCCGGGGCTTCTGTGACCCTTCCCCCCATCTCTTTCCTCCTCAGCCTTCATTCCGCGTGGAGTGTGCCCCCCGCCCCTCAGCTCCACCCGATCCTCCGGGACCCCTCTCTTTCTGAGGAGGCCATGGATACCTCGACGCCTTTGCCTCCTGTAACCCCCTCCCCTATCGGCAATCCGGCCCCGCGGACAATCCAGATAGAGTTCCCTCAGCACAGCTCGCTGCTTCTGGAGTCCCTGAACCGCCACAGGCTGGAGGGAAAGTTCTGTGATGTGTCCCTCCTGGTCCAGGGCCGTGAACTTAGGGCTCACAAAGCAGTGTTGGCTGCCGCCTCTCCTTACTTCCATGACAAACTTCTCCTGGGAGATGCTCCGCGTCTCACTCTGCCCAGCGTCATTGAAGCTGACGCCTTCGAGGGGCTGCTCCAGCTTATTTATTCAGGGCACCTTCGTCTGCCACTGGATGCTCTCCCTGCCCACCTCCTCGTGGCCAGTGGCCTCCAGATGTGGCAAGTAGTCGATCAGTGCTCAGAGATTCTTAGAGAACTGGAAAGTGCAGGAGGTGGCATTTCCACCCGTGGAGCAACACTTCTTTCCACCGCAGCTTCTGCAGGAGGCTGGTGCATTCGCTCTTCCCCTTTCCAGCTCCCAGGGCAGGCTTCTGCTTCTACTGAGAGCCCAGTCGTGGGGGAGGGGAGTGACCTGGGAGAGGTTTTACAAATACAAGTAGAAGACGAAGAGGAGGAGGAGGAGGAGGAAGAAGATGATGAAGAGGAGGACCAGGGGACCGCGCTCTCCCAGACTCCTCAACCTCAGAGAGTAGTAGGAGGGGGTCTTCCCCACCACCCTGGGTCCCACCCACTACCCATGTCCACCACTCCCCACAGGCTTCCAGAAGGGGAAAGTGCACCTCTTGAGGCTTCTCCTCCTACACTGACCCCCAAAATCTTCTACATTAAGCAGGAACCCTTTGAGCCTAAGGAAGACATGTCAGGAGGTGAAATTCAGTCTGGAGGTGCAAAGGAAGAGACCAAAGTGTTTCCTGGAGGGGCTACAGAAGGAAATGGGGAGCTAGGATTCTTACTGCCCTCAGGAGCAGGGGCCACCTCTGGGGCAGGTGGGCCATCCTGGAAACCAGTGGATCTTCATGGAAATGAAATTCTGTCAGGAGGCGGAGGACCTGGGGGTGGGGGACAAGCTGTACACGGACCTGTGAAACTAGGGGGGACACCCCCTGCCGATGGAAAACGCTTTGGTTGCTTGTGTGGGAAGCGGTTTGCAGTGAAGCCAAAGCGAGATAGGCACATCATGCTGACCTTCAGCCTTCGGCCATTTGGCTGTGGCATCTGCAACAAGCGCTTCAAGCTGAAGCACCACCTGACAGAGCATATGAAGACCCACGCTGGAGCCCTGCATGCCTGTCCCCACTGTGGTCGTCGGTTCCGAGTCCATGCCTGTTTCCTCCGCCACCGGGACCTATGCAAGGGCCAGGGATGGGCCACTGCTCACTGGACTTACAAATGAAGGTTTAGTTCAGACTAACTTCTGGACAAGTGAGCCACTGTGGCTAGTGGGTATACTCCTCACTATATGTTACTTCGATCTTGGATATTGTGATGAGGCCAAGAGGATAGATAGGTGATGAACCTCTTGTTCTGGGCCATGGGGCTCACCTTGGTAGATTTGGTAACTCACATTTCTGATCTCACACCAGGTTTTGTTGACTACCCAGCAGGAAAGTGGTTTATAGGGTATAGGTAAATTGTCTATTGCCCATAATACACCTTTTTGTATAAGAGACCAAATTTCAGAAGATTATTTGGTGAGAGAAGAGTTAGGGCAAAACATAGTGGCAGATGTTTCATTTAGGCTCCACAAGTTGTTAAAGGAGCTGGTCTCCAGGTAGGGGTTTGTTTAGTTGAGCATTCTAATAATTCAGAGACTAAGCTGTAAGCTCTGCTTCTTCACCACAGAAATGGTGTGAGCAGCCTTCTTTCTTTGTACTTTTCTTTTGTTCTATTTTTCTGAAGCCCCACATACTATAACTTGACTTCACTAGTAGCTACTTCGCATCACCTTTTACTTTTTATATTGTAGTTGAGCACTTTAACAAATTGGACATTCCATATGTCATTCCTAGGACCCTGTTACTGGAGGGTATTCCCCCTACAGCCTGTGCCTCTTGTCTACCTTTGACCACCACTGATCACTCACATTGATCACACTGACTGGAAAGCAACCAGTGAACTCAGGAGATGGCCACTGACCTCAATGCTCTCAGGGTAGCACCACTGCTCTGAATATGTGGCCGTGGTCAGAGGGACTCAGGGCTGAGGCAGCACTTGCACCGTAGAACCCCCCCTCACCGCCCATCCCCATCCACACATAACCCAGATAGCCCCTTGTTGAGAGGTGAAAGGGTAGATAATGGAGAGATGGTTGCAGGTTACTTAACTTCTTTAAATAAACTTTGCCCTGAAATCTAAGCTGACAATGGATTGGATTGAGTAATTTGTGTGGGAGACACAATGTGAGAACAGAGCTGCAACGGATTGGGTTGTATTGCTAGAGGAAGAATGGGATGGTGTCACACTGGTGCAAATAGCACTGTCCTAGGCATCAGTGGGCCAATTTTTAGGCCCCAGCCTTTCACTGAATAACCTCAGTTCAGGGTCTTAAATTTTATTTATTTATTTATTTATTTGGTCTTGATGCTATGCATCTACTGGTTCCTTTTTTTTTTTACTGTTAGGTTGGCTTACATGATATTTACCTATAGTAATACTAACTTCATGTTTCTGTATTATGTTTGGTTATTACTTGGTTTAGTCTACAAATATTTAGTGCACAGCACTACGTTAAATACTGATTCTTCCCTCAGAACTTAACAGCTACTAGCAAAGCTACAGCTACTAGTGACCGATATGACAATGTGATATAAATCCATGATAATATAAGCTACTGTAGTGGCACAAAGGAAACCAAGCAAAGTCCCCCTTTATAGGACAGCTGAGCTGGAGTAGAAGTGTTGAACATAGGAGTTGAGTCAAAACTATGGGGTTGGAAAGGGGTGTTAGCATTTCCAAAGTATCTTCAAAAGTTACCAGGTATTATCCAGGAGGGACTGAAAGGTGTGACTTTATGACTGACAAGGTGAATTCTAGCTGGATTTTGCCAGCCTCTCAAAAACACCATGCCATAGTCCCATTCCTGCAGTAAGGAACATTGAAAAGGTGTCAGGAGGGGCTCCAATTTTGGGTTCTTGACAGTCCCACCCACCTGCCAATTTTGAAAACATATTCTGTAGGTGGTATGTTTGTTAGCCGGGATCCTTTGGCTGTAAGCAGCGGAAGCTGGCTCTGACTAACTTTTATCAAAACAGGAACCTGTGGAAGGGTGTGGGCAGGCTCCTGGAATGAAGGACCAGCCTTTGGAAGGACAAGACCTGAGTAAGTTGCAGGGCTTGAAGGAACAGAAGTCCCTAGGGAATCTGGACATGTGCTTGGGGATGGTGACCCAGTCATGCTTGTGTTACACATCTGGGGGTAAAAATTTCTAGGCAAGAGCCCTGAACCCCGTGTTCACTCTGGCGAGAGTACCTTTATCATGTACCAGTGAAACAAAGGGCATGGAGTCCTTATGGGGAAATTGAAAGCCTGGAGCAGAAGAGTGGGAATGGGTGCTGGCCAGCTCATGGGAGCAGAGGCCCACCCCACGTGTACACATGGGCCCATCTTGGGATCCTTCATCCTCAGATATACCTGGCACTTAGTAAGTATTCAGAAATGTTGAACCTGCCCTACTTTTACGTCTGCCCTCCGAACTGAAGGTGAAATTGCCCCTGCCTCCTTAAAAGCCTTATGCTAGTCTATAAAGTCAATTAAAATACCATCTTAGAGGATATCTTCAAGTTACTAGATACTATGCAGAAAATGAATTCCATGATGAACAATTCCTGTTGAAACAAACTTACGATTCCCTGTCTCAGTCCTTTCCCTCTTATTTGGAAAAGATGTCCCTCCTGTTGCCCATGGCTAGCCCTTTACTCAGAGCCTTTGCTGTTTAATTTTCCTCTCTCTTGCTGTTCCTTTGCTTACTCTGTCTTTGTAGTTCTTATTAGCATTTCAGCATGCTCACGGGGTTGTGGGAATTAATGTAAAATGTGTAGAAAAGTGCCTTGCACTTAGTAATAAAGAGATGCTATTTATCATGAGTTCTCTCAGGGAGGCATCACATACAGAAAGGGAAAGTATTTTTAACAAAAAGGAAATAAGGGCCCTCCCTGGTGGTGCAGCGGGTTAAAGTGCAGCACTAGGATGCTAGCTGCAGTCACTTCAGTGCGAGTTCCATCCCAGGCCAGGGAGGTGACCACATGTTCCATCCCAGGCCAGGGAGGTGACCACATGGCGCAGCAGACTTGTCTCGCCCCCTGCTTCCCTCAGCAGTGTACTTTGTCAGTCTGCCTGTTCTGTACCCCATTCTGTCTTTGGTGAATTCTCTCACTGCCCCTGCACCTCTGGCCTGTACCCCAGTTCTGTATGCATAAATAAATCTTTTTTTTTTTTTTAAAGGAAATAAGACATATAGCACTCAGGATTAGAAATAATTGCCACTGATACCTTTCTCATAAACTTGAGTTCTCTAGGGCTTTTTTTTTGACTTTCTAACTTTACACACTCCTATATTTTATCCACTCATCTGAATTAAACCTTTTAAATGCTGATGCCCCGTAATTTTACATTCTCAGTTTTCCTGACCCACTTCTTCAGCAATAAGTGCTTGCTGTGTACTAACCACTGGTGACAAGAGCAGAAGGCATCATAGGAACTTGTGCTCTTCATTGTTGCTTTAAGAGACATGTTTAAACCAGCTGCATAGATACTTCACAGACATCTCCTCCTCAGCAACCCACCTTTAGCCAGCTGCTCCTGCATTATTTCCAGGTTTAAAAGGCCAAGATGGCCCTGGGATGCTGCTGGCCATCTACCTCATCTCCCATACCTCTCCCACCAAGGCTAACTCCTAAATATTTCAGATTGCTACATTCTCACTGCTGTAGCCTCCTAACTTGTTCTGTGTCTTCTGTCTTATTTCTCTCCACATTTCACTTTGTGCTGTATGGCCAGACCAATCGAAAGTAAAAAATACTGTTTCACTCCTCTCCAGCTTAACTGTATCACCGGCTTCCTCTTTGATGCCCAAATGATTTGGTTTCAATGACTATGATCTCTGCATTCATTACTGTCTTCTCTAGGCCTCTGCTTTTTTCTGCTTCCCATGCTCATTTCTCTACCTAGAATAATTTCTTGCCCGTCAGTGGTCTGCCTCAGTCCTACTCCTCTTATAGTGGGAGAGATATAGTAGGAGGAATTAGTGGCCTAATTCTTACTCCCTGTGGATAGCAGCTCAGCTTAAATAACATTTCTTTTAGAAATTGTCCCACTGTTAGGCTAGGATCAGACTACTGTGGTGTGCTCTATTTCCCCATATTATAAGACGTACAGTTCCCTTTATTCAAGGAATAAAATGCCAGGTATTTTACTAACCTTTACATGTGGGTACTGTTTTAGGCACAGTGAACATTGTTTGCCCTATAAGCTAATATTCCAGTAAAGGAAATTACCAGCAAGGGAAGTAAACCAGGTCATAAGGTAGAGAATAACAGAAAGAGAAACTTACTGTATACTTTGATCTATTGTAGTATAGCAGGGGAAGAAAGATGGGTCCAGTTAAGAGCTTAACAGATAACAAAAGTCTAGAGTGAGAAAGAGACTGTCATGTTTGATGAGGGAAGCCAGTGGACCAGGAGCTATGGGAGAGTGAGATGTTTATCAGTCATTTTGGTCTGCATTACCAGAGACCAGTGACTTAAAAGCTGCAGAAATTTCTCGAAGTCTGGATACTCTCAGAGGTTTGAAAGTGGGAAGGCCAAGAGCAAGTTGCCAGCAGATTCGGTGTCTGTCAAAGGCCTGCTTCCTGGTTCACAGATGGCATCAATGGATTAAAGCTGTTACATTTGCAGGTAGGACCTCACTGCATAGTCTAACAAATTAGATTTGGGGGAAGCAAACCAACGAAGAGCCCTAGAGTTTTGGCTTGAACATCTGAATTATAGGCCATTTTATTAGTGGACTAGAACTTAGGAGTGGAGCAAGGGCTTTGTTTGACCAGAAGCTATCCAAGCTGGTGACTGGGTATGCTTGTGAAGGGTTCTAGAGAGTATCAGGGGATGGCACACTTACTTTACAAAGGATCAGATAGTAAACATTAACTCGCATGCCCAGGAACACAATCAGGGTTTGCCTATACTTAAAAAGTACTTAAAAAGTAAAAAAAGCAAATTTCCTGTTTTTTTTCTTTTTTGACACAATCAAATAAAATGATTGACTACAGTTTTTGATGATATAGATCTGCTGTTTAATTAGGGCCAAAAGTTAAGTGTTCCTTATTATCAAAATCAATTGCAAATGTCCATCTGTCAATGCCGATCTGTAACGAGCTTTTACATATTTCATCTTTGAAAATGTCTTCACACAGAGTTCTGCCAAATACAGATATCAATCAAAGACCATATGATTTTAATTGAGCATATTCATCACTTGAAAGGCATTTATAGGATTCTATTGTATTCTCTTGTTACTTGGCTTTTGTCACATCATTACATTGTAGATTAATCACACCCAGTTGAGGGTAGGTGAAAGTCCTCAATTGCACAATTAAATGAAATACAAAAATCTCTGAACTTACACTGAGGGTCCCATAACTATTGCTGGCATTGTATTTTGAGCTTAGAAAATATATCTGTTGGGCCTTCCCTGGTGGTGCAGCGGGTTAAAGCACAGCACTGAGAAGCCAAAGCCACTTCAGTCTGAGTTCAATCCCCGCCCTGATACACATGGCACAGCAGACCTCTCCTCACCCACCCGCTGCTCCCTTCAGCAGTGTATTTCATCAGTCAGCCTGTTCTGCTCCCTACTGTCTCTGGTGAGGCCTTTCACTGCCCCTGCACCTCTAGCCTGTACCCCAGTTCTGTATGCATAAGTAAATAAATCTTTAAATATATATGTATATATATATGCTGCAAATTTTTGGAGGAAGTTCTTCCTTGTTAACTCTTGATAATATAGAAATTATATAAGGCAGTTTGACTTTACCTGGTATTCTTTTGCTATATGTTTTGCATTGTCATTTTAGGTTAAGTTAATTAAGGAATATTATCACTGCATCAAATGTCCACAAACAGATGCATGGAAACAAAATGCAACATATGCTGGCCATGGAATATTATTTACCTTAGAAAAGAAGGAAATTTGAACATGCTACAACATAGACAAACCTTAGAGCATCCTAAGAGAAATAAGTTAGTCACAAAAGGACATCAGTGTTTGATTCCACTTATGAGGGTCTTAAATATTATTGAGTCAGAGTGGAACCCTGGCAGAGAGGAGAAGGGGGGATTAGAGTTTAACTGGTACAGCTTCAGTTTGGGAAGATGAAAACGGCTGTATACATGGATAGTGGGGATGCCCATCCTGAATGCACTGAAAGCGGTACAACTAATTATAGTAAAAATGGTAAGTTTTATCCATTATTTTTCTGCAATAAATGAACCACTGATGAAATAATGGATCTCAGCATTGAGCATCAGTGGACTGCTGGTACCACA